GAGTCGTCCACGACTGGACCTAATCATCAGGGGTCCCTTTACCTTTATCTTTATTCTATTATTATTATTATTATTATTATTATCATTATCATTATTTTCTATTTCTACCCCACGTATCTTACTGGGTTGCCCCAGCCACTCTGGGTGCCATATAAAAACATAATAATAAATTAAACATTTTAAAAAGCTTCCCTATGCAAGGCTGCCTTCAGACGGCTTGGGGGGGTCCAATAACTCCATACCCTCCCACATTTCTCCAATGAAAATATGGAGATCTTAAGGAAAAGCGGGACATTCTGGGATCAAATCAGAAACTGGGAAGGCTTCTGTAAATCCGGGACTGTCCCTGGAAAACAGGGACACTGGGAGGGTTTGAGAAAGTACTGTTAATTAGACATACATAGGATGCTGCTGCTGAAACACATGTTCTCAGGCTCTCAATTATTATCTGGGAAGATTCAAGGACAAGCAAAGAAACATGTCAACATTTCAGTGTAGTACAGTTGAAAACCATTTCACATGGGGGTTCCGTTCCTGGCCCCCAAGTACGTCAGTGGGGTGCATATAACCGTACCAGACCCTGTCCCCACCCCACACCCCTTTTCACGACATGTTGAATGATGTTTTCTGTCACTTCCAGGTTTGTGTATGTTTAATAATAACAGTAATATAATAATAATAATAATAATAAGAAGAAGAAGAAGAAGAAGAAGAAGAAGAAGTTTGTGGGAATGGCTAGAGGGAGCACAAATTATTTTTTTGTTTCGTTCCTGTTTTTATTCTGTATTTTGTGTTTTCATCTTGCATTTTTATGCTTTGAACTGCCTTGAGATCTATAGATAAAAGGTGATGTACAAATTTAATAAATGATAATAGTAATTTGAAAGTTGGTGGCCCTGAGAACGGGAGACCACATCTGCTTTCCAGCCAGGCTATTCTGGCTCCGAGGATCTGCAGTTTTTTCCTTCTTGGCTGCTTGATAGTCTAAGTCACTTTTTTTATTATGCCGTAACTTTTTTAACGGCATGTTCTAACTGTTCCCAGAAAATCCTGCATTGATGGTGTGATTTCCTAAGGCCCTCGTAAAAATCTTCTCTTCGCCCTCCGACTTTTATCGCACAGTAAACTGGAAAGCCAAATTGCGTTATTCCGTAAGAGAGATACTTGGGGCGGGGGGGTCGCTTCTGCAAATTGTGCCACAGAAGCAATTGAATGCATGCAATGCTGCTCAGTTTCACTCACAGTATGGATGTCATACATTTGACAGGTGAAACTCTTCCATCGCTTTACTGCTGCGTAAATTTACCCTTTGCCTAAGTAAATTTCCCTCTTCTGCTGCCACTTCGATTTAGCCCATCGTTCAGCCTGGACACTGAGGTCCAGCGCCGAGGGCCTTCTGGCGGTTCCCTCCCTGAGAGAAGCCAAATTACAGGGAACCAGGCAGAGGGCCTTCTCGGTGGTGGCGCCTGCCCTGTGGAACGCCCTCCCACCAGATGTCAAAGAGAACAACTACTACCAGACTTTTAGAAGACATCTGAAGGCACCCTGTTTATGGAAGTTTTTTATGTTTGATTGTGCTTTCAATATTCTGTTGGGAGCCACCCAGAGTGGCTGGGGAAACCCAGCCAGATGGGTGGGGTAGAAATAATAAATTGTTGTTGTTGTTATAGCCAGGAGCATCTTTCTCAGACTGAGGGCCGCATTCACCCAAGGGTAACATTCAGTGGTCCTTCTGTGATCAGAGGGGGTTGGGGTGGGATCATAGAAACATAGAATTGTAAAGTTAGAAGGGACCTCAAGAGTCATCTAGTCCAGCCCCCTGCAATGCAGGAATCTCAGTTAAAGCATCCCTGAGAGATGGCCATCCAACGTTTGCTTAAAAACCTCCAAGGAAGGAGAGTCCACCATCTCTTGTGGGAGTCTGTTCCACTGCCTAACAGCTCTTACTGACAGAAAGTTCTTCCTGGTGTTTCATCGGAATCTTCTTCCTCACAACTTGAAGGCATTGGTTCAAGTCCCACCCTCCAGAGCAGAAGAAAACAAGCTTGTTCCCTCTTCCATTGACAGCCCTTGAGATGGCTATCATATGGAGCTGGAGGAGACTCTTGAGAGTCCCATGGACTGCAAGAAGATCAAACCAATCCATTCTTAAGGAAATCAGCCCTGAGTGCTCACTGGAAGGACAGATCCTGAAGCTGAGGCTCCAAGACTTTGGCCACCTCATGAGAAGAGAAGACTCCCTGGAAAAGACCGTGATGTTGGGAAAGATGGAGGGCACAAGGAGAAGAGGAAGACAGAGGATGAGATGGTTGGACAGTGTTCTCAAAGCTAATAACATGAGTTTGACCAAACTGCGGGAGGCAGTGGAAGACAGGAGTGCCTGGCGTGCTCTGGTCCATGGGGTCACGAAGAGTCAGACACGACTAAATGACTAAACAACAACATCATATCTCATCTCATTCTCCTCTTTTCCAGACTAAACACACCCAGCTCCTTCAACTGCTCCTCCTAAGGCTTGTTTTCCAGACCCTTGATCATCTTGGTCACCCACCTTCCAGCTTGTCAACATCCTTCTTAAATTGTGGTGCCCAGAACTAGACACAGTATTCCAAGGCTAAATAGAATGAATCCATGGACCTAAACAAGGACATGACATTAGCTGATTCAAAGAAGTTCATCCACCAGTACCCTTGTCTTGGGAGAGAGAGAGAGGAAAATCCTATGTCGTAGGGGGTGGCATTAATTATTCCAGTGTGGATCAGTCTATTTTCCTGTTTCTCATTAACTGTGAAAGGAGGAGCAGGTCTTGTCCCTGAAAGGAGAAGCCTGTAAGGAGCCACACATTTCATAAGGAGCTAAGAAGATTAGGGTAAGTCTCTGAGGCTGTCACAGGTCAAAGCTTAAGATAATTCGATCTCTGTGAGAAGCTGTATGGCACACCCAGTGCCTGGGAGCTTTGACGGGACTCTGGCCTTGTCCTTATCTTGAGGGAAACAGAAATACCCACCAAAGAAAGAAACCTCTCCTGCAATCATGCAACTGTACTATGCGAAATACTAGATAGGCGCATTTTCAAGAGGAGACAAAGAAAAGATAATTCAATCCCAGGCTAGAAGACAGAATGACATTACGGTGCAGGGTGAGGTCAAATCTTTTCCCCCAGTCACATTTGGTGTGGTTTCTCCTTTCCCAATCGTTGCAATCTGTGCCCATTGGCTAAAGCTAGCGAGAAAACCTCGCTGCGTCTTCCTGAACCTATCCCGCAAAGGATTCCTGTTTATCCGGCGCAGTGCCTGAGTAAACCTCACATTTAGATTTTAAGGAAGCTTCTTGCCCTCATGAAGGCGAATATCTGGAAGCATATGAACTGAGTCAGCGAAAGTTCCTCCCATTCGCAGCTGCTTGTGTCCTGCACAACTGAATCTCTTATTTGTCCAGGGCCGGCTCTGCCGTTAGGTAGAATGAGGCAGCTGCCTCAGGCGGCAAATTCATGGGTGCGGTTCAGGTGAGAGAGGCTGGAGGGCGGGCAGAGCTGTGTGTATCACTTGGCCTGCCCTGTGCCCTCTGACCCTGGCCTGCTGCCTTCAGGGGTCTGTGGAGAATATGCTGTTCCATTGCCAGCCTCGGGGCTTCCAATCATGGGCACATTTCCACCATAACCTCACTTACCAGTAAGCGCTTACCAATTTTATCTCTCCCACTGCCATCTTTTTTTCCACCTTGGGCTGCCTTTGGATGAAGGGATCTCTCTCCTGGAGATCCTTTAGGCTGCAGCAAGGGAAGAGAGAGCAAGGGCAGTTTGTGCAAATTAGTGGAGTGTGTGTGTCTGTGTGTGTGTGTGTGTGTGTGTGTGATCTGCAACAAAACGTTGCAGCACAGAGTGTTTCTGCAGCTAAGGATTTTCCCTAAAGCAATTTTTTGGTGCAAACCCACGGGACCGCCTCTCCTGATATGCCCCACGGAGGACCTCAAGGTCCATAAACAGCAACACCCTGGAGGTCCCGGGCCCTAAGCAAGTCAGATTAGCCTCAACCAGAGTCAGGGCCTTTTCAACACTGGCCCCGGTCTGGTGGAACGCTCTGTCTCATAAGACCAGGGCCCTACAGGATCTGATTTCTTTCCACAGGGCCTGTAAGACAGAGTTGTTCCGCCTGGCCTTTGGCTTGGAATCAACTTGATCCCCTTCCCCTCTTTCTTTTTTCCTTTCTCCTTCTGTGATGGAACTCCTATTTGGGGACTTCCCTGGCTTTTTTCTGGCCCACGTAGGACTAGTCTGGATAGTTGGCCTTGGTGAAGATTTGATGATTTCATCCCCAAAAGATTTTTGAGTTTCTACTGAAATGAGGCTGCATTTTAATGTTGTATTTTAATCTTGTTTTTAAGTTGTATTTTAATTCATTGTTTTTATACCTGGTGTTAGCTGCCCTGAGCCCGGTCTTGGCTGCGGAGGGTGGGGTATAAAGAAAAGTTAGTAGTAGTAGTAGTAGTATTAATACTGTTAAGTCCCGTCGCGAATGACTCTGCGGTTGCGGCGCTCATCTCGCTTTACATGCCGAGGGAGCGGGTGTTTGTCCGCAGACAGTTTTTCCAGGTCATGTGCCCAGCAGGACTAAGCCCCTTCTGACGAACCATAGCAGCGCACGGAAACGCTGTTTACCTTCCCGCCGGAGCGGTACCTATTTATCTACTTGCACTTTGACGTGCTTTCGAACTGCTAGGTTGGCAGGCGCTGGGACCGAGCAACAGGAGCTCACCCCATAGCGGGGATTCGAACCGCCGACCATTCAATCGTCAAGCCCTAGGCTCTGTGGTTTAGACCACAGCGCCACCCGCGTCCCTTCGGCAAACCTTAGGGTTGCCCTGAACCTGCAGATTATGTTCCCTGCACCCTGTTTGTTTATGAATGGCGCTGTTTTGGTTACATAAGCAATGAGACTCACGTCCTGAGCATCGGGGACAGAAAGAATGGTTTCCGACAAATTGGCAGCTCTTTTCTCAACTCAAAGATGGCGGCGCTGTTCTCCTGTGCCTGCGAAGTCCATTCCTGAAGGTTTGTTGTCGAACCGCTGCTCGCTCTTGTCCTGATAGGCTGTGTATCTATAATCTGTTGCGCAGCTCATCTTTATTTCATCAGGCTGACATTTGCTGTGAGTGCACGTCCTCCTCTCCCAATTCTTCTTCTTCTTCTCCCTCCTTGCTTTCCTGGAATGAATATTTTAAAAATAACATCTTGGAGATGCGTTCCTAATAGGTAGAGAGGACACGAATTCTTTTAAACTGGCTGTTTGTACCACATAATCTTTCCAACGTGGAATTTCACTATAAATATGGAGGCATCCATTTATTCAGTTCTGCATTCTTTGGTTTCTTAAACAAACTACCGGTAGTTGTCAAGGCAACTCCACTCTCTTTCTTTGTTGCCCCATTCTTTTAAGCTTTATTTATTTTATTTTTTAAAAAAAGAAAGTAGCCATTTAATAATAATTGAATACCAGCGGCGCCTTCACTCTGCCTTCTTCATTAGGGGCAAGGATTGTTTGGCAGCAAAACGAGCACAAATCAAGGTCTGGGAGCACAATGCGGCAGGATTTTATTTATTTATTTATTTGGTGGAATTATATGTGTCTTTTGACTTCTGTGGCACCTGCTGATTCCATGGATGATTGAATATAAAATATAATGTAATGTAATCAGTAACACCCAATTATCAAAACCGAATCAGAACAGCAGAAAGAAAGGGGAGGGGAAACTAAGTCAATATCAGCAAACAGGTTACATTGGACACTAGGCTATGGTATCTATTTTTGATGGTGCTGATGGATCTTACTTCCCAACAATCAATTTTATATCTAGTGATTGCTGCTCATCTAGTGATCTCTCAAAGGGCAGAAGAACTAGTGTGTTCTGGCGAGTTCCCCCTAAAACAAAAAACCCTGGGAAGGACACATTTTGTTATTAAATAGATCTATGGTTTTAAAAGGGACGCGGGTGGCGCTGTGGGTTAAACCACAGAGCTTAGGGCTTGCCGATCAGAAGGTTGGCGGTTCGAATCCCCGTGACGGGGTGAGCTCCCGTTGCTCGGTCCCTGCTCCTGCCAACCTAGCCGTTAGAAAGCACGTCAAAGTGCAAGTAGATAAATAGGTACCGCTCCGGTGGGAAGGTAAACGGCGTTTCCGTGCGCTGCTCTGGTTCGCTGCTCTGGCTTAGTCATGCTGGCCACATGACCCGGAAGCTGTACGCCGGCTCCCTCGGCCAATAAAGCAAGATGAGCGCCGCAACCCCAGAGTCAGTCACGACTGGACCTAACGGTCAGGGGTCCCTTTACCTTTACATTACCTTAGTTCCTGCCTGCACCCTGTCCTGCTTTCCTGCCTGAGCTCCTGACCCGCCCTGGCTCCCTGCTTACATGCCTGTCCCTGACTTCACCCGACTCCCTGCCCTGCACCCAGCTTTAGCTACTACGGACTGCCTCCACGTTGCACCTTTGACCACAAACTGGACTTGGACCTCGCCTCTCGGGTAACCCACGGGACTAGCACACCTGTCCAGACTGAAGCAGTGGAACCGTTTAGCTGCCTGTTGTCTGCCTCGGGTGCAAAAATGAGTGAACTTCAACAATGCAAGGCCAGCCAGGATCAAATTAGATCATCCAACGGCAGCTGGCTGGGTAATCAGGACTCCACACTCCCATCTTCCCTTGGTTGCATGTACGTAACTGCTGCTACATACAAGACACAACCGTATCCTTTAAGTACTGGGGAATAAAGTTGCACTAAACTGAGGAGCTTTGCTGTTTCGGCGAGGTTAATGTTTTGTTTGTTATAATCAGCGCTTTTTTTCTTCTTCTTAAAAAATGTTTAGGGGTACTCTCATTTTGACTCAAGAAAATCACCACTTTATAGTTCAAATCGGGGGAAATAAATACACTAAATGGACAAAAGTACAAAGATTCACACAATATTTAGGGTACCCCAACGTCCCCCCCCCGGAAAAAAAAACTGGTTATAATGCATTTTTGTGTTTCCAGACTGTAAACAGCTCTGTGATCCTGAGGGTTCTATAAATTTAATACATAAAATAAATACAGTGGTATCTTGGTTTCTCAATGGCTTGGCTACCGAACAAATTGACTCCCGAATGCCACAAACCCAGAAGTGAGTGTTCCGGTTTGCAAATGTTTTTTGGAAGCCAAATGTCCAACGCGGTTTCTGATTGGGTGCAGGAAGCTCCTGCAGCCAATCGGAAGCCGCGCCTTGGTTTTCAAACTGTTTTGGGAGTCAAACGGGCTGAGTTCGAGAACGAAGGTACCACTGTAAATAAATAAAGCCTGAATAGGATTTGGCAGCTAGTCTTCAGCATACTTGAAACCAGCCCTGTCTTGAAACCAGCGGGTCCACCAAAATTAATGGGATCCAGTACCGAAATGTCGCTGTCTGAACCTGTATTATAGCAATATTACTACTGCTTCATTCATCATCTTATGCCACAAAAGCCTCAAGGCTTCTTGCAAAAGTAAGGTAAAGGTAAAGGGACCCCTGACCATTAGGTCCAGTCACGGACGACTCTGGGGTTGCGGCGCGCATCTCGCTTTATTGGCCAAGGGAGCTGGCGTACAGCTTCCAGGTCATGTGGCCAGCAAGACTAAGCCGCTTCTGGCGAATCAGAACAATGCACGGAAACGCCATTTACCTTCCTGCCAGAACGGTACCTATTTATCTACTTGCACTGGTGTGCTTTCGAACTGCTAGGTTGGCAGGAGCAGGGACTGGGCAACGGAAGCTCACCCCGTTGTGGGGATTCGAACCGCCAACCTTGTGATTGGCAAGTCCCAGGCTCTGTGGTTTAACCCACAGCGCTACCCGCGTCCCCTTGCAAAAGTAATCACACACTAATTCCAACCATTAAGTCCACCTTCCCCAAGTACACTAGCACGATCACCATTAAAACAACGAATTAACAGAACCCATCTAGCAAAAGGAGAAGAAAGGAAGGACAACATGCCTGGGACTGGGAGTAGAGGAAATTCTTGAACTGGCTCCAGAAAAAATAGTAATGTTAGCACCTTGGGTGAGTGTTCCACAGTCCGGGAGCCACCACCGAAAAGGCCCTCTCTCTTTTAGCCCTGCCAGAGGGGGATCTCAGAGGAGATTCTCCGATGCCGAACTAAGCATCCAGGTGAGGCCACAGGGGAAGAGGTGCTGGGCATCTTTGAACCGAGCCCGGAAACATTTCGGAAAGCCAGCGCAGCCGGGTCAGAATCCATGCCGCAAAATCCAAAGATGAAAGTCTGTGCGGTAAACAGACTAGTGAACAGTCTGTCTTGTAAATCAGAACGGAGTTAAGCAGCGAGGTGGCCTGTTCTCGTTTCTTATGACTTTATTAGGGGTTTTTGTTCCAGGCTTTAGATACTTGGCGTGATTTATAGGCAGACCTACAGGCTAAGACAAGGACCATCTGCCCAGAAGCGGCAAGCTTTGGCGGCTTTTAAATCGCCCCTCCCTCCAGAGTAGTGACCCTCCTGCAATGGAGACGATTCACTTAGCATCGGAAATGCACGCTCAGGCATAATTTAGGAAATTATAACACTTTTCCCCTTTTCCTTTCATTTTTAGCTGCTCTTTGACCTGCCAAGGCTTGGTTCCGGTGCTGACCCAACATAACGGCACCGGAATCCTAGAAGCCTCACGCTACCCCAGAACCACCATCACCATCAACCCCAAGATACTTGCAAACATATCATTCTCCTCCTCCTCCATTACCCCAGTCCTTGGGACAACATGGTTTGGGACAGAAGACAGGTGAGTCCTAATCTCAGAGTCTTCTGTCTTAAGCCACGTGCAAAAAGTTGTGTGTGAGAGAGGAGAAAAAAATAGAATTAAGGAAAAACTGCCTGTGATTATTGGCTCACCCCATTTAAATCTGTTAACGGGCGATTGATAACATTGTGACCCACCTGTATTGCAGCTACCTACTTGTGACAAGACAAAACAGGAGTTCTCCTGCTTATTTTTAAACAGCAATATGCCAGGCAGAAGCCCAACAGGTTAAAAGAGATGCCTCCACCAACTGTATCTTCTTCTTTTTGTATATAATTTTTAATATTTTTTTCTCTTTTGCAACTTAAAACACTCCTTTTACATCCTTAAGATATCAATGACTTCTTTTCACCTCTTTCCATGGTTCATTTTACATATCATAAATCCCTGCATATTTTTTAAAAAACGATACCATTCAGTATCCCATTATTGCGTCCATCAAAACTTGTTTACACTGTTGAATTTATCTGAATGCTGCCAGAGTTTTCAGCTGTACGCAATTATTTCCCATATATTCAATAAACGTTTTCCAACCTTCTTTAAACTAACGTTCTTCTGTGTTTGAGGAGTGTGCGTTTGTTGCTACCTGCATATAAATAATAACAATCAGGGGCTTTCCCACTTCCATTTTAACAGCAATATGCCAGGCAGAAGTCCAACAGGTCAAACCCGCCTCCATCCACTGCGACTTCAATGCTTTAGGAGGGAGGAAGTGAATGAGTGTGCAATTTTTTGGTGTGGTTTTGCGTGTGTGTGTGGTGGGGATTGGCCTGACCTGTTGGATTTCTGCCTGCAGGCGAGAGAAGCTCCCCCTCCCTCCTTCCCCCCAGTCGCCCCTCCCCTCGTCTTACTTCTGATTGGCTCCTCCGCCTCCCTCCCCTTCCCAGTCCCTTCGCGGAAAAGGAGGGCGGGCGGGCGCTCGCGAGCGCTGATTGGCTCCGGCTGGCTCTCTGTTTCTCCCTCCCACGCCGCACCCTCGCCCTTGCGCGGGCGGGCGCGCGCTGCCGTGGAACGCTGAGGCCGGCGCGCGCACGCGCAACACGCCGCCCTTTCTCTCTCTCTCTCTTTTTCCCCGGGTCTGGCATGCGGGAGCCGCGAGGCTGCGTGGCTGTTGCTGGGGCGGCCGGCTGGCTTGCAAAGCAGCGGGCAAATCAGGTCAGTGGAAGCTGGGCTGTGTGCATGGGTAGGGGTGGGGGTGGGGGTCTCCCCCCTTTACCCTCCCCCCTTCCTTGCAAATCAGCGTCGCACCGCGTTTTACGGCATTGCAGCGCATATGCATTTTGCAATCTGTTGCAAATCTATTTTGCAATCTATTGCTATAAGTCCGTGCAGCTGCATTGTGCATCGTTTGCTGCACCGCGCGCGCATCGCTGCTTTTTTTGCGCCTTGTCCGCCCGGCAACGGCATTGTGTGCTGCAAAGGCAAAGGGCACCTCGCGCGCACGTGCAAGAGGGGAGAAGGCGCCGTCTGCAGTTGCAATGCACGCCCCGTTGTCCGCGTTGCATTTCCCCAGGTCGGGTTGCAA